GCTGGCTGGGTTTTGGCTGCAGTTTTGAAAGCTTCTACAGCATTGCATGATAGTGCCACTGAACAAGGGTAATTCACCCATGCTGTAGCACTTACACCCAACTAATCAATTAAAACTTAATTTTATGCTGTACATATAAGAGCAAGCAGTTGTTAACTCTGTTCTCTGCTCTCATTAAATACCTTTTCTCATCAAACTTTTCCCAAACGAAGGTGGTATGTTGGCTTCCAGGTAAATCAAAGTGTCCATACAATCCACTTTTCCCATAAAAACAAATTTTTATTTCAAACAAAATGGTTCAGGTCCAAAACTGATGTCAGTGTAAAGGTGGAATGTATTAACGTTGATTTATTTTCTTCTGAAGGCGGGGTGATTGTAAAAGTGGTTTTGTTTAAAATTATATAGGAATAATGGCCAAGTTGAAATTTCTGACTGCTAAAGAGATCTAAAAAGTATATACAGCCAGAAGGAATTTATTTTCTGAAGCAAAATATCTAGAATTCTGGCAGTGCACGAGAGCCAACGCATAATGAAACACAACTGAGCTGAAACTGCTTAATAGGTGTATTTTTCAGCACAAAAGCACTTTCACATTTGATTAGCACTGAAGGTGCATCCATATGGTTCCTATACAGTGCCATGTAGAGCTAAAAATGTTAAATTTGAAGAAAACAGATGTAAATTGTTGGCGCATGTGAGTGAACTCTGACTGTACTTTGGGGTAGGGGGGGAGGAAAAAGCAGAAGGAAAGGAAAACCAAAACTCAGCCCCAAAACAACAGCAAAGGAGCTGCATGTGACTCATGAGCCAGCTGGAAAAGCCCTCTGGCTGAGTCACACAGCTTCTGTATTGCTGGGGGTTTTAAGCTAAGGGCATCCAACATGAGCTCATGTCAGGCAAAATAATTGTTCTGGTCATGAAATCATTTCCACTGCTCCCTTTCTGTCCAAATCATCAATGTGTTGGAGCTGCTCGGAGCTTAATAGGTGTCTGAGGAGCATTTGACTGCATCTCTTTGGGTATGTTAGAAATTAGACTGAAGTAATTTAGCAACTATTTACCTGTGCTAGTAGATAATAGCTATGCACATTTAGCAAAAGTAATTTCCTTTGAAAGAAGTTGTGATTAACATCAAATATCTCTAAGGTTTATTCTTATTTTGTAATATGACTTCCCCCTCTAACTCTGCCACGATTTTGTATGTTTCAGGGAAGTGTTATAAAGTTAACAGACTTCTCTCCACTAAAGTAGAGCCTTCTTTCCTCTTCCTCAAGATTTGTTTTAGATTAAGACTTTCCTGGCTATCACATGAACGAAATAGCAGAATACCCACTGGGACTTCATTTGTGTGTGTTTAAACTGGGTTTTCAAATGGGATATAAAGTGATAATCATGAGGTTTTGTGAGGTGGTTCCCATTTCCAATGTGCTACACAAAGAGAAACTGTTCAGTTTTCAACAGCCCTGTGAGGCAGAAAGGTAAGTAAAGTTTCATTGCCAGGATTCTTGTTTCATAAGTGGGCCTTAGGGATTGAAACCAGTATTTCCACATACAATTCCCAGTGCCTGGGTGCTTATGCCAAAGTGATCTAATTTTCAATTGAGAAACTTCTGTGCTGCTCATATGCACTTTTATGGCATTTAGGTTGCCCAGCAGTCCTAAAAATGAACCACACTTAGAGTATCATCATGATGAACTGTCTTTACGTTTTCATGGCCACATGGTGAATGGGGTGGGGGCTGCACCAGACTGGAAGAGGACTTGGTGCTCTACGTTCTCCCCAGTGTGGTAGGTCTGCCTGTTTCAAGTATTTCTAAGTAAAAATCATTCTGTCTGAGCTGACTGTAGTCCTGGTTCCACACAGAACTATTTACATACATGCAAATCATCTAATTAGCTCCAAGGATACTGGGTGCACAACCTGTTAAACATGTGTACAACTTTTTGCAGTACAAAACACCAGCAAGTGAAAGAACTGTTGAATGCAATCCTCCTTTTATACAACCAGTTGGATTTTGACACCAGAGTATTAACTCCTTTAAACAACTATTTCTCCATACAGAACTGAAAAAGGAAATACTTTTAAATACTGCCTAATTTTTGTTTTTTAAAGTAGATCATAACAAACAATTCGGAAGTAGCCTTTAACTGGACAGAGCATGCAGAGGTGCCAGCAGGAAGGAGGGGTTTGCTCACAGAACCTTCACCCTGCACAAGGAGCTGCACGTGCAGCATCGTAACGTCACCATCGGGTTTGTTTTTTCCAGCAGCAGAAGCAAAGGTTAATTGCTTGCATTTACAGCACAGTTCAAAGTGACCTCATACAAAAGATTCAACTGAACAGCTGCTTGAAATTTACAGTCTGAAATTTCATACCATTTGTTGGAATTACCTTTTCATTAGCCCTTTGGGGGTATACGTGGTGTTTATTGATTAATCCTCAGTAGTGGTTGTTTAAATAACAGATTAGCTCTCTGTATTGAGTAGCCCAGCCACATTCTGCCATTCCCACACCCTCTTTTTGAAGTGTTGGGTGAGGACAGCAGCACACAGCTGAGGAGAAGGCTTCAAGCTGCTGCCTGTTTAGCCCCCACAAGCAGAAGTTTTGCTTCTTCAACTCAAACACTGAGCCTAAATGACATTTTCTGGCCTTTTAGGTTTGGTGCTGTGCTATTCCTAATATGGCTGTGACTGTGGCTTGTGTTAGCACCACCGAGAGTGGTGTCATCTGCCTGTTCCCACTTCCCCTCTCTCTGGGATGAGTAACCAGAAGACTGCAGTACCATGGTTGGTGCCATCAGCCCCTGAGGATGGTGGCAAGAGCTGAAGATAGCTAGATTTTGTTGCTTCTTGTAGTCTTGGCAGTGCCAGCAAAGAAAAAAAAACTGTGGGGCCCTGTCATGGTGGGCACTGGAAAAACAGTCTTTTTCCAGAGTGAAAAGTAGGAAAAGCAAAGGAACCGTGGAAGGAGAGGAGATTGGTGGGATGGGGAGGGGAGGTGCAGGGACAGCCTGGACTGTAACAGCCCAACTGCTGCAAAGAGAAGCAGCACTAGGGAGGGCTGCCATGGACAGGGTGCACACAAAGGACACGATCACATATCACCCTCCCCTGCATGAGCAGTCATTTTGTGCCCAGGTGGAACTGTAAAGAGCTGTGAGACAACATAGAAGGTTTCCCTTTACACTTTTTCACCAGAGCAATGGCTTTTGGCTCCTGTTTGCTGCCTGGCCCACCCAGCAGCCACTGAACTCAGAAGGATGTGCTCCTGGAGGATCCCCACACTTCAACCTGCTGAAACTGTTTTCAGTTTTGTTGACTTCCAATGCTGGTTTTGAGAAGAATTTTCAGGTATGAAGTCAACCTCTCTGTTTATTCCTCCCCTACCCCTTACCACCTCTGCTCAACTCCCCCAAGTCTTCTAGACTGCATGGTTTCCCTGCAGTGAGCTCCCTGCCCTGCCTAGACTTGGCAGGAAACACAAAGCCTTCCATAATTAGTATGTATCAGTATGGAAAATGTCCTTCTCTACCTTTTGAAGCAGAAAGCAAAAAAGAATAAGTTGACACTTATCCCAGCTCCCATAGTAATGTTCAACCACTTGCATTATTCTCTCCTCTCTGTCTCTTACTAGTGCTTAGTTCAGCATTTTGGAAAAAGGAGGCTATAGAAGCTGCACTTGCTGATGGGCTAGTAGCCAGATGTTCCAAACAGCTTTCAGAGTTAGGTATCTTTGGGTTGCAGTTGTCTTTGTACTCATATGGCAGATGCTCGTTGTTGTACCAGCACTGAAATTCAGATGCATTGCAAGTTCCAACCACAGAAGCCCTACCTAATAATCCTATTTGTTGGTTTACTGTAGGGAATAACTGTAAAACTGTATGTGACCAAACTGCTGTGGAAGCCAAGGCTGTGGCTATGTTTCAGCAGAGACAACAGTTTTCACCCAGCAAAAATAGGGTGTTTTCTTTCCACTGCTCTCCCATCACATGGGAAAGTAATTCAACAGTGTAACCCAAAAAAAAACTTTATTTGCAGATATATATTGAACTACTACACCAAGCAATAGAGAGTTGACTTAATAGGCAACCAGAGGACCACCAGGACTGACCCATGGTAATTGGCAGGGGAGCATGGCTGGGAGTAGGGAATAGGAACAAAACCTTCCTTTTTTTTTTTTTTTTTCCTCTGTTAATTTGGCTCACACCATAAGCTGAAGTTATGCACTGAGATGCAAATACATGGTGCCATACAGCAAGTCAACAGCCACTTCTTCAACCGCTGGGCAACTCTGCCTCTTTTTCTGTGGTAAATTTCATCCTGAAAGTGTTGAGTGGGACTTTTCTGCTCATTAAGCAACTGACCCTTATAGCCCCTCCTGCAAATAGGTGGTCAGCAGGGCTCTCCTGCTGTGGAGATGGGAGTTCTGAATCAGGGCAGTCAGGATGTGACTTTGACTGCGAAGAGTAAACTTAGAATTTCTAGCTTTTCATCTGCCTTCTGCATACCCTGCCCTTATCCTCACCCCCACTAGCCAAATCTTCCTAAAAAATAGCAAGTACTTTTTTAGTTCTTCTATTTCAAAGAAAAGAACCAGCTCCCTTTTTAGGGGGTGAGATTGACCAAGTGGGATCATCACTGATGTTGCAAGGTTTAAATACCATTTTTTGCTCTAAAGAAAAATGCTGGAAGGACTCCTCTTTGGAGTAGTATTTATCAGGCTGTAGGTGGGGCATCACCTGAATTCTGAGCCCTGGAAGCTATCCATAGATAGAAAAGCAGGCTAAGAGTAATGCAGGAATCAGGCTCGAATAATCTGTCTACAGTGACATGGAACATTCCTGTTCTTCATGATCACCTCAAATGCTTTCACTGCAGCCTTATCTGCTGCACTGACAGGAGGATGCCTCTTCATAAAATAACCCATTTTGTACAAGACCAGCCAGCAACGAGGACGAAAGCAAAGCAGACTGCTCAAGTAACTGAGGCTTTTTCCTTACTTTATACCAAGATGCTGTCTGGTAGGTGATTGAGGAGTCCTGAAGAACTTTACAGGGCAGCAGCACTTCTTCAGCACATCTCACGGCAACATCTGGCACAGCCACAGAAGCCCCACAGATCAAGCACCAAACTGCAAAGCACAGGTACACGTTGCCTTTAAAAGAGATTGCCTAAGTAATCTTTCCCATCTTCCCAAAACATACCCCCACAAACTAAACGTGAAAGACCAGAAAGAATAATGCAAGGCTCCCCACTTACCATTGCACAGGACGATAAGCAGAGTGTAGACTACCAAAGACATGACTTCTACTCCTTCAAACCACAGAGCAGCAACAACGTGCCTCTTTGCAGGACAGACTGTAAGAGCAGAGTGAAACTGCTACAGCTTCTGGAGTGATATTTCTGGAGGCAGACTGGGGAATCCCCCACAGGGCTTTTCTTGAAGTTCCCAGTCACAGGGAAAATCCCTACGTGTAGGAGCCAGTGCTCCTCCCATTAAATCTGGTCACTCCCAGTTCTGCAGCTGCCTGCACTGGTAGCACCTCACCTCCCATTTTTTTTCTTCTTTTTTTGCCCCCCTCTGTGTTGATCTGAACAGAAGTAAGGCTGATTGTGGGACACTGGGTTGGTGTGAAGGGCATCAAATCTCTCTTGAGTGACAAAACAGAAAGGTTTTGCCAGCCTCCCCAAGTCCCCTCTCAGCCTTCTCTCTGCATCACTAACAGAACAGTGTCTGTGCAAAGGTTTGCCAGCATTTCTGAAACCACATTTAAGCCCTCAGGTCATAACACCACAAGGACACTGTGACTTAGACCTAAGGGCTAAGCAGGAATTTACAGCAGCTCTGAGCAAGACAAACAATATTTCTGTAGCGTTAGACATGTAACTCCCCATGTAGGCACTCGTGAAGTAGAAGCAGCATAACTTGCTAGTGTGTTTTGTCATTTTTAAGACAAGCAGGGGCAGCTAGAGTGACAAAATTCTACCAAATTGTATGCTGGAAAATTTCATCATGAAAAAACATCAAGGCAGCACCCAGAGAAGGAATCATTTGGACATTCCCTCTTAGATAGCTAAAAAAAGGAAAAGAAAAAAACATATTTTTTAAAAAAAGAAGTCCTTTCTTTATGATCTGTAAGAGCTGTTCCCCCTGGAGAATTTTTGAGGAAGTCTGAGGTTGATCACAGGAGCATTTACAAATCATGAAACTTAAAGTTGCTGACGTGTTATTTTTGGAAAATGGGTCTTGCTGCTGTCTTTAGGCTACCGAGACCATAATGGAGAGAAACCATTTATGAGGGTTTTCTTGAGTTTTGATGGATGAAGAGTGTATGGTGAGCCCCTTTGAAAACCAGGTTCCTGGAAGCCACACCAGGCTGGGTACCCTAAAGCCAAATGGCCTCTAGAAAGCTTTGTGAGGAACAGTCAGTTTGACAAGTCCTTAGCATGCAGAAGTCCAACACAGGTAAATGCCATGGGTGGATAATGCTTCTGGAAAACTCCAATCTGTTTTGAGGGAAGTCAGACAGCAATCTCACCAGGGGCCTTGCTGTTGAAATAGCCTACTTATTTTTAAAGCTTTTTACTTCTATTTTCATTGAACGACACGGTAAATATAACAGGCTCTAAGCTTTATTTTTCTCTGTGTTTTCCAGTTTCAAGGACCTCAATCCATTACTTAGAAGATAGGCACAAATAAAATGGAAATCCCAGTGGGACTCTCTAGAGGGAAAGAAAATCCTGAACTCTTACTTCTTTCTTCTGTGTGAAATATTAGAGTCCTTGAGAAGACAGAAGGGGTGAGGGGGTTGTTGAAGGAACTCTTGGAGAGGAGAGGGCTCCAGTTAATATATTTCACATCTGTTCTTCACTCAAATGATGGCTCTCCTGTCCCCATGAGTCAGTCACACATCAAGCCCACCTTCAAGAAAGGCACTCAGCTTTCACCCAAGTGCCTCTTTCTGCAAGTCTTGTAGAGCTACATATTTACCCTTTGTAAACCAATCCAAAGGCTAAAACCACCTCTGCCTCCCATTTCATTGCAAGGAAACTCCCAGTGAGTAAACCACAGCAAGCTCCTGCCCCTGCTGCGGGTCAACCCACAGCAATCTTTCCCAAAACATCCTGAGCAGATGTGGTCTGGAGGGACTGTGGCACGTGTAAGGCTGAGGTCACAAGTCTGCCCACCCACAAGTGTGCTGAAGGTAAGCACAGAGGGTCAGGCTTCAGGCTGGTCTGGGAAATGTATGTGCCACACACGCTTGCCAAGGTGATGTTAAACAACATTCTTCCTCTGTTAGTTAAAATACAGGAGTCAAGGCTCTCAAACACATGGGTTTTCCCTCTAGGACAGGCAAAGCTTCAAGCAAAACAGCCCTTTTCCTCCAGAAGTATTTGCAAGCTCAGCTGCTGTTGCACAGCACAGTATGGGAAGCAAGAGAACAAGATATGCAAAACAAAAACTGAAACTCCCTTTGCTGGGAGGGGAGACACCATTTTGCTTCTACACTTCCCCTGGTTGGGAATTTTTCTTTAGGGAAATTTTGAACCAGGCTGTACTTTCCATTGTAATTTTTAATACCCTTTATATGTTTTCAGAGTGCAAACCTATTCTCTCCAGAGCCCTGAAGCTGCTTGGAGTTTCACTCCAGTCCTGAGCAGTGGAAGCAACAGGAGCTCAGTGGGACTGGTTTGGATGTGGGAGTGGAGAGGCAGTGATTGCCTGTCAGCCTTCTCTGGGAGAAACAGATCCACATCTCTGCAGAGCCCTCAGGAGCTGCATGCTTGTGTGAACAAGTGGAAGTTTATCACTAAATGCTTTGTTCTGTGGACCTAAGGACACTTGCTTTCCTATGGGTGTGTCCTACTGCCTCTTCCTCTCCTTCCCTCAGCTGTACCACTGGTACAGGTGATACACTAAGTGTAAACCCTCAGTCTCACTGAGCAAGAAGCACCATCTGCCCTGGTGAGTCCAGAGCTGCACACCTGATGGCTGGCATTAGCAAGCAGCATGGAAAGAGGCTGTGTTCTGCCTACCTTCCCTTCCCCTTAGCGAGGGCACTCCTTCGGATCTCTCTCTTTGACCCAGCTGCTGATTTTTGTGAATTTCACAGGCACTTAACTCTTTTTAAGCACCAATCCCTCTGTCAGTTTGATAGAAAGCAGGTTCAGAACATACTGGTTGATAGACAGCCAGATGGCACGATCACAGAAATTTCATTCTCTGTGGGAAATGAGGCTGGAAGCACAAGGATGTGGGATGGATTAATGGGATAAGGTTAAAAAGTCAGGACTGTAATTTTTTTCAGTGTTGATAGAGCCCTGAGAATGCTGTTTGTGGAATTGTGTCCTTTTCCCTTGAACCAGGTACATACTGGCTCCCTCAGGTACTCAGGTAGTGGGTTTTTCTTATTTTTTATTCCAGTGTGTGGCTGCAAAAGATAGGTTAGATTCCTTCTTACATTATGCTTTTGCCCCTGAGTGCCAACATTCATCAAGAAGCACAAGGTTTAAAAAGAAAATCAAACTAAAACCTTAGGCCTCTACAAGGAATACAGAGCTCTCCACAATGAAGAATCAAAGATTAAGACAGAGGTGTCCAAGCAGCATTTAGCATTTCTGACAAGGCACAGATTTTCCTGTATTGGGATATGATTATCAAATATCCCCTGTCCCACCTCATTTAGGTTCCTGCTTTGAGTAAGGTCCATCCATGTGCCTCATGTCTGTTGGGAAGCCACTACCAAGGGGGAGTTATTTATTTTTATTATTATGAATGTCTTGTGCAGTAATAAAATCTGTTTGCTTCAGTTCAGCTGACGAAACCAGGACAGTTTTTGTTTTATGTTTTAGTAGACAACCATTTTTTAAATAATATACTGTGTGTAATGTGGCACTGTCAGCCAAAGGAACGGCAACAGAAGAATCCACAGCCGCAAAAGCAGAGTAGCCACGTGTTTTGAGGGACCCAGCAGAGCTGTAGTCCCAGTGTTTACTTTCCTGTCATGCTAGGATCTTGAAGCTCACCACACCAACAATTAAAAGCAACTGAGAGTTTCCAGATTGCGGCTAATGAGAGGTATGCAGATTACTCATAAACTAGAGTTAGCAAAGTTTAAGCAGAAAGTTCTCTGCCAGTTCGTGGCAGATGTTGGGTCAGGGTCTGCCTTTGCTGTTTAAAGAGTGGCAATCCAGCAATACTGAGAAACCAAAACACTGGAACTGTGACCTGCTGAGCAGTGCAGAGTTTTGTGCTGCAGCCTGTCTCCCGCTGCCAGCTCAACAAATAACACCCAGTTAACGATACACAAATGGCCACTCCTCTGAAACGCCTGGACTCTAGTGTGTGAGACGTGCCAGTCCTCTCTGTCAAAGTACTGATCAAGCATATTCATGGAGAAACTGAAATGAGACCCAAAATACACACCCAAGGTGGAGGTGTCCAAAATCAGAAGCGTCTCTGGAAACTGTTGGCCTGGGAGTTGAGGAATTGCCTTTAAGCAAATGGGAGCAAGAGCTTAGCCCATGTCTATAGATGCTACTCTAAGAACTGGAATAAAGCTGTACTGAAGCTCCAGCTAGTCCAGCATCTTGTCTTCAGCAGTAAGCAGTGAGTATCTGGTAGCCAGGCAGGCTAAAGTGCTGCATTCCACCTACAGTGTCAGCTGGAGGTGCACATTGAGATCTCATTTTTCACAGGTTCCTCTTTTATCATCAGTGTGCTGGATGGGGCTGATCCCATGGCCCACCAGGAACCTGAGTCAGGAAATCCTCCTGTGCCAAGAGCAGGTCTCACAGGGTGCCCAGACCGTTGTGTCTGGGAACATGACAGACCAACTGCACCAAGCTTCAACCCCCCTCCTGGTGCCTCCAAGCCCTCTTGTGGTTTGGTTTTTGGTTTGTTTGGGTTTTTTTTTCGTTTTTTTTTTTTTTTTATATGTGCCCTATCTGAGGTCCCACTGAGTCATGGGACTTCCAGAGCAACTTCCCCCATCATCCCCAGCAGTGGAAAGAGGAAGCCTGGTGACAGGGTCCTGGTGACTGTGGGGCCGAGATCCATTCTCTTCTCTTCTCAGGTCTCCCAGCACAGCACCAGTGGGCACTGTCTGCTGGCTCCCCAGATGCCTTCAGGGTGGTGTGCCCCTCTGGTTCCCTCTCTATACATTCCTGACCCTTTAACCTTGATCTTGAGCTTCCTCTCTTCTCTCCTTTGTTGTCCCCTGCAATCATTTGGCTTTTCTCAGGTCTTTCAAAGAGCCTTTCAAAGTTCAGTGCAGGCAGATACTGACACCTCAACAGAAT